TGCATTACTTGTCTGCATTTATCAGGAAGGCGGTTACCCCAACAATGTACTTTGGTAGCTGGATGGCATATGCCATTGAAGATTATGAAAGGGGACTATTCTGTGAAATTCAATGCAAACTTAGTGCATGGTCCTTATTGTAGGTTGCCTTTGGTGAAACCTTAGCCAAATTTGGAAAAAAAATTAAATGTGGTAAAAATGTACTAGACAACATGGCGCAATGACAAGTTGATACAATGATTTGCAAAACCACCAATCAGAACAAGTTTTTAGAGTGGTGAAGTATAATTTAAGTTTCTGATTAATGAAGATTTCGGTATGTATGTTTCTCATGAGCATTAGTTAACAAGAAATTCTTGTGCCTTTTTTATTGTTCTCTATTTTACTCGGGTTGATAATTGGCACTTGGCCTCCTTAGGTCACCACCTAGCTTGGTGGGGTGGGAGACAAGGGTTCAAACCTTGTCTCCCACCAAAATGTTACATTTAAGTAGTTTGCTTCAAAAAAAATTCAGGCGGGTGTGTTCTGCACCCGTTTGATCCGGTGGTGGTTCAGTCCCCTCCGGGTTATCCCTGGGCCTCCTTAGGTCCGCCCCCTCCCCCTTAGTGTAGTATAAATTAGGTTATACAACTATTGTCGTTTGCGAAAAAAAAAAATAATTGGCACTTGGCAAGGAACTTCTACTTATTGTTCCGCTCAATATCTAAATAGTAGATCTTTTCTCATTTTAGTTTCCTAATATTTTTTATGCTAACTTGAAGTAAATAGTAACACCCGATGTTTAATATGTTCGCAAGATAGAACTATGTATGAATATTTGGTTTTACATCAAAGAAAGTCTATGAAATATGCAATGATGAACCAATACTATCTCCCTCATGTCCAACTGTGTTGGAAGAAAGAAACATACAAGATAGCAGCATGACTTTGGATTCTACTCTCAAATCTTCTCTTTCACTTTGTAAAGTTTGGAGATTCCAAATGGGGAAAAAAAAAAAAAAGCACGGACAAAATTGTTGTTGACGTATTTTAAACCAAGCATATTTAGAATTTCAATAGTTTTAAAAATTGATTTGCTATTTGGTATCATTGTTTGTTTAGAAAATAGAGTTGAGTCATATTTTGATATTATAATTAAAATAGAATTTGTAGTTATGTTTCTCTATCTAAACACTTGGAATCCTAGGTTTGTAGTTGAGAGAAATTAATGAATTGAAACAGAATATTTTTTTTCCTCCCGTGCCTTTTTTGATTGTTTATTATTTGTAAAATTTTAATATTTGTTTATTATTTATAAAATTTTAATGTTACTTCCGCTGCGTAATTTTTTGTACTAACCATTGTTAATGTTTTCCTTTTATTTCCGTTCTTGTTTTTTCTTCTCTTTTTTATGATGGACATTATTTTACAACTTCAAAGGTGCCACAAATTTTGGTTTTCTTTACCAACTCAACCTTAATTTGTGGAAGTTTGTCTGCTAATCAAAACGTAATAATAGCGGACAGGACACAACTCCTTAGACCAGGTGCCATTAGATAAAAGCTTCACGTGCTAGTCTTCTTTTTTTGAACCAAGAAGAGCAAACCAAATTTTCTGTAGTACGAAAAAGTTGGCCGACTCCCTTACGCACAGCCTAGAAGATACTCCATCCGCCCCACTTTGATAGTCCTGTTTCTTTTTTTCACACAGTTTAAGAAATAGTAGTTAACTTTGTTGGAAAAGTAAATTTAGATTGCTATTTTTCTAAAATACCCTCACATTAAATAGAGTACAACTTTATGGGAATTTGAATTGATGGTAAAAAAAGGATCAACTCTCATTAAATGGGGTAGATTTATAGTAACAACTACTTACATTGAATAAGGATATTTTAGAAAAATTAAAATACAACTACATTTTTCAATTGGAAAGTGGATTATAATTTAGGACAGATAAAAAAAGAATACAGGACTATCAAAGTGGGACGGAAGGAGTAATTAGATAACGAAAGAACATTACGGTCGTTGGGTTGATTAAACACATTAATATTTGTGCATAATGTCGGCTAAAGTTGTATTCTTGATGGTGTAGCTTTAGAAAGACTTTATGATGTGGAATGCCAGTATTATATGTTTTTCAGACTAGACAATGCTACTTTACTTTTTAGATTTCTATATTTTTTTATTAGCTCTAATATGTATTCTTGAACCAGAAGAGAGGAATCAAAAAGATGTTTTGCGTCTTCTAAAAGCTTTCTTTTTTTTTTTTTATTATTATTGGGGGTTTTTCTTTTGGGCGTCTAACTGCTTGTTGCTTTAAGCTCCCTCTCGTGTCTGTCATTTTTCCACCTCACGACGAATCATTACACTATACATATATGAGTCGGAACTAGGGGTTTTGTGTGGGTCGAATATAGATGTTGTATGAGCGTGTAAACGAATGAAGTTCCTGTTTGATAACTCAGTTCTACATTTTAATTTAATGGATTCAAATCTTAACATATTCAGATTATTTGATAACAAAAAATTGAACGTCTGAATTAATTAAGTGGCACTGAATTTTTGAGGCAAAACTTGCTCCCAAAATTAAGTGATAAGTTATTCACTTATCACTGAATGTAATATGCACTCAAATATATTAGATTTAATATTTAATAATTCAATAATTTAATAGATTCAGACTTTAGACTTTAAATTTCAATTTTCACATTTCAGTTTTATCAAACGCACCTGAAGTTGAGCACGAACTCGACTCCTAAAATTTTTGTACTTAAACTCGTCGAGTTTCGAGAGGTTGAAGAGCTCAAACTTGAGTTTGTTCTAATTTTAACTTGTACTTGAACTCGAATTCGAGTTTAATCAAGTTTAATTGAATTTAGATAATATAATTAATGTCTTACTTAATATTAAACAAAAGATATGATAGATATTTTAAACTAATCACTATAAAAGAAATTTAAGATATATCGAGAAAAGCTCAAACTGAATCCACAAGAGTTCGAGCTCAAAAGCAAACTCAAGAATATGTCGTTTAAGCTCGACTTGTTTGTACGCCTTTAAACAAGTACACCTAATTCGTATAAGCCTAATACTGCGTACTTCTAGATGGAATGGAAAACTTCCAAGGTCTAACACTTAAGGTTGATGGATTCGGGACTTCGTAAGCTCGTACTAACATCCCATGGATTTGCTCGTAACCTAATATCTGGGCCGTCGACAGAACAAAGAATTGTAAAAGAGCCCACTCAAAAAGGGAAGTTAATCACACATCATTGGAGCCAACCCAAGTTCAGCTATTAGGCGTTGAGTGAAGAATTACTCCTTAGAGGGGCCATCAAAAGCCCAATACTGGATACTGGAAACAAAGGTCCAATGTTCAAGCTGAATTGGGCTTTTCCAGTTCACATGTATCTTTGCGATGTGGATTTCAACTTCATCCACCCACTCCTCATCAAAATTACTCTTATTTTGTTCCTCTTCTTTTCGCTAGATAAGTATTTTCCTTTTGAATTTTGCTTTTTTTTTTAAGAATTTGATACAAATTGGTTGTAGAAGAATCATTCTTTTTTTTTTTCACAAAAATAGAAAGCTAGTTGGATCCCCCCATAAATCTTCAACAATATATATTGCTTCCACATAATTTCATAGTGTATCAAGAAAGATTATTATTGTACTTTTATTGGAAGAAAAACTTTCTGCAAAAGTAGCTAGAACCAAATGTGTCGAAACACGAATATACAATCAACTCTAGGCAATGGTAAGCAGGCTTAAAATATATACTAATTGATAGTGCTTAGGGTTCATTACCATTTTTATCATACTTATAGTCGACTAAAAATTACCAGTAATATTTTTTTTTTGAAAAATACCAGATTTGATCACTAGGGAAGATTACTTCTAATTGCTTTGAGAAGCAAATGCTAATCTTGAATTGATCTACAGCTACAAATGTGATTTGCAAAATTTTGCACTATAAAACTAGTAGTATTAATTAAAGTAAAATTGTAGAGCTGCGAAAATACACTCATAATGAAAAAGAAAAATGCAAGCGGAACAAACCAAAATACCATCAAATGAAAGGATCTCTTTGCAAATTTGCGGTTGTCCTCCTTAACCCTAATTTCGAACTCTCTGGAGTCCCCAGTGTCCAACCTCCAGTATATATATATAGCCCCAATTCTTTTGTCCCTGATAAACCCTAATTTTCCTAGCAACCATTCTTCTATGCTCTGTCTCAATTATTTGCCGAAATTGTAATTGTTCAGCTATGTAAGTGAGATTTATCGGTTTTTTTGGGTACTTTTTTTGTTGCAAGTGATGATAAGACTGATATATCTAACTCCTTTTTCGCGGAGAAGGGTGAAATTGCATTTTAAGGAAATCAGAATCTCTGATGCGTACTTTTACTTTTGATCTTTCGCCAAGAAAAAGTACAAAAGGGTTTTTTCTTTTATTTTTTCTCTTTTTTGATTCATGTTATGCCGATGCCAGTGATGGTGTTAAATATACTTTGAGTTGCTTTACTCTGAAAAGAATTTAATTCTGAGGCTGCCAAGGCATTTTTCAATTTTTTTTTCATTTTCTTCCCTTCTTTGTTTTAGATTTTTTGGCAATTTTGTTGTTTTTAGCATACTTTTTGATTTTTTGGTTTTGCTGCATAGATTAATGCGTGTTCATTTCGTGAATGCAAGGGATGATAGAACAGACAGGGACATCAGAACTCCTTTTCTGGAGAAAGATGACTTGGTCTTACAATGGGAATCTCTCTGATGCATCTTTTTTTATGAATTTCTGCTTTCTGATTTTTGTATTTACGTTTAATAGAGCATAATAGTCTCAAAAATAATGGTTTTGAGCATGATTTAGGTGTCTGATTGTTTAGTTAGCTTTCATAAATCGCCTAGTTTAGAAGAACTCTGACTTGGAGTGCATCTACTATAAAATTTTGTGAATTTGTTTGATTAGTTGCTTTTCCAGCATTGGCGTATAGTGTTGCCCTTTTAAATGACTTGAGGGTTTTAGCTAGTGCCCAGGATGGTGTTAAATATACTTTGAGCGTTTCTACTATGAAAACAAATAAAATCTGAGGCACAATCTTCTGTTTCTCTTAATTGTTTAGATTTTTCAGCTGCTGTCTGAGCTCTCATTAATGTATAATTTTTGGTTAAAAGTTGATTATGCTTATGATGAGGTTTAAATTGTAAATTTGACTTCTGTTTGAATGTGTTAGTGCAAGTGATGATAAAACAGACAGGGACATCAGTACTCCTAGTGAGAATGGTGATTTGTCGATGGGAATCTCTCTGATGCATTAGTAGAGCTTTTGAAAGATTTTTCACTGGTTTTCTCGTTGTGCATGGGATTTGTGCAATTAAAAGATAGGCCAATGCTTGAATTTTGAAGCGTCTTCTTGTTTCATGGTTGCATTTATAACTTCATTTGAAAAAGTGCCCTCAGCTTTCATGACAGCTTTTTGTTTATGCTGAGGTTCCAAAGTTGAAATTGCCAATGATGAATGTTTGCAATATCATGATTTGGCATATTGATTCTGGAAACATCATCGCAGGCTGAGGCTCCTTTTTTTATTTCTTTTTATTTTCAGTTCTGTTACTTTTCCTTCTTTACACTGCCCTATATATTTTGCTTTAGATCAAATAAATGATGTTTTTTCCGTCGGAGAAATACTGGTTTGCCAATGACGATTATATATTGCATGTATTATCAGAAACTAGGTGATGATAATTAAATTGTCACTACCTCTGAGGCAAACTAGCTTCTCTTTGTAAAATCTGCTGTCTGCTTTCTTTCCCCTGTTTCAATCTGGATCTTCCTACTTGTTTCGAACTTGCAGTTTGTAGTCTGTAAACCACATTTCTCTTTTTTATTTTTTATTTTTTATTTTTTTTGGGGTACAAAACCACATTCATTTCAAGCATGCACCAAATCAGTTGAAATTGAAGCAGCACTTTGTTCTGTAAATCAGTTTGTGGTTTGGTCTAATGTTGGTAACTGGTTGGTAGATACAATATAATCAAGCACCAGAGCTACTATTTCTTGGTTTGTCTTTGCTGTGCATTGAATTCCAAGTTGTATACTGGAATAAGAGGGATGAGATGTGATTTCACTAGCTTTGAGACAAACTTTTGCTTGTGCTGATTTTGGGGCTGCGGCTCCTATGCTAAAGTTATTATTACATGACAAGTTCCTTTTTAACTAATTTCAACCTCCTGCTACTGGTGCTTTTCTCTTTAATCTCAATGGACAATTTGGTAACATATAAAAATGAGAAGTTATACAGAACCTAAGATGGTTTTTCTTAGAATGAATTATAGTTACAATATCTCAGATGAGATATGTGACCTGTTGTTGCTCTAAATGTGGAAAAGGAAAGATAATCTATTTTTGAGACAACTTTAACGTCAATGCAGAGAGGCTGTTATTGGCAAAGCTTGTTTAGTCATCTAAGACTATTGGTTAAGCAACTTAGACTTTGTACTTCTTGTTTCTAATTGATTACTTAGTGTGTGCCTTGTTTGCTGTTTCGTTGTCTAGACTTGTCTAGGGCAATGAAAAGCCTGATGGTTACTTCTTAAGGATATTTGTATATAGAGCATCCTTCAGCTGTTATTCCTTGTAGCCTTTTTAGGTAAAGCTCTTTCACTCCTTTATATGACCATCAGTTAAGCAACTTAGGTTAGTGTGCCTGTTTTACCCCAAGTTGCATGTGGTATGCTTGCGTTTTGTTTAATCTAGACGTAACCTTAGGGTAATGAAAAGCCTGATGATTACTTCTTAAGAACGGAGATTTGAATGGTGCTACTTGTCGTAGTCTAGCCAAAAGCTGGGCTCCAAAGGCATCCAATGTAATAAACATTTCTAAAGGAAAATGAAGGCTATTAACTTTGCATTCGGCTCAGTCGTGGTTTTAGGTATCTAATGATATCCTATTAAAATTACTTTGTTTTGTTTACTAGTACGCCATTGCTCTTGCTGTATTTGCTTCTGAAATTTGAATTATGTATGCAGCTATTTAGCATCTTTGACATTCTTTAGATAGCTATATAAGCTGTAAACGAGTCGAGTCGAATCGAGTTTTGGTCTAATTGATCTGAGTCTTGATTTAGTTTTATTAAATTCGAACTCGAACTCGACGAGCTGTCAATTTAAAGTTCGAGCTCGAAAAAATAAAAAATAAAAATTTTATTTTTAAAAAAATAAATAAAATAATATTTTTTCTTAATAAATAATAAAATATTAGAAATATATATGTAATTTTATTATTAAAATAAATAAATATATATATACACACACACACATACATACATATTCGAACCCGCGAGTCAGACTTAATATTTTTGAGTTTGAGCTTGATTTAGTTATTGAATTCGAGTCGAGGCTTGACTCGAGCTGCTTAACTCGACTTGAATAGCTCTCGACTTGAATAGCTCGTGAGTGGTTCGATTTGTTTGCAGTTCTTGCCATATAGTTTGCTGTCAAAACTCAATGACTAAATTTCTTGATGGGAGCCCTTCGGGGTTCGGTTCCGTGGTTGTAGCCCAGTTGGGTGAGAGCCACGTCCAGGGATCGAGTCCCCTGGTTTACCTGGTCGGTGATGTTGGGCAGTCTCTCTCGGTCACGCAGTGGGATTAGTTGGGTCGTACGGTAATCAGTCCACCGACCTAGATACCCACTGTGTTGACAAAAAAAAAAAAAAAAAAAATTTTCCTGATGGGAAGGACGAATGATGGAGTGTTCACTGTGTTGCCATAAATATGTAGCCGTGTATAAGAAAGAATTCACTGGGCTTTGATTTAATGGCCAGCAGGGGCTTCCTAGAGCTGCGTCTTGCATCTTGCACGGATGCCGGGAATTCGAATCGCGCCTAGCGTTTACAAGGGAAGCGTGGTGCTTTCTTTCCTAAAAAAAAAAATTTTCAGAAAGTTGCATGAGTGTGACTCAATATGATGCTGGCTATACCCAGTCGATCTGGAGGTTGGATCTCTTCCTTTGGCCCCCCAAATGTGCCAAGTTAGCAGGGATTTCTCCTTCCCTCTTAAAGTAGGACTAGACTATTGCGGTTGCTGTTTCTTTGTTTATTTACTTATTTTGTCATCATGGGCAAGAATGAAAACGTTGAATACTTAATTATAATAGTTAAAGGGATACTCAAAGGTAGTACGGTTTACCTATTTTGTGCTCAGTATATGTGCACAGGTTATAAATGACCAAAAGAACGGTGATGCCAAAAATAGAATAGAAAAGAAAAAGGAAAAGCCACTGGTTTAAGACATCAAAAGGAGTTGTGATGACATACAAAAAATTCTGATCAATAAGTGAAACAGGTAAAATGAATTAACAATCGATCGATGCATTCATTGGATAAGCTTTGAGGGTTAATAAATGACACGGGATAATCACACTAAACTGAGGATCTTTCCATTCAATACGACTCTCTAGAATCATAATACCTTGTGAAGTGAATCTGTACATTTTTTTTGAGTAAATTTTACATACATTCACAGTATATATACTATCATCGTTTGATTCATAACATGTGTTTAAAAATTGAATTTCAAATTCAATTTTACATAGTTATTATTCATTTAACGTTTATAATGTATATACTATCAGGGTAGAAAAGATTAATATTTTTTTCCTGTTGAAAAGTTATAACTTCCTGTGGGTGAGTGTATAAATTTGCCTTTCTGTAAAAGGGTGAAACTTAAAAGATAGGCTATTTAGCCTCTTTAGGCCCCCATTCTTGTAATTAGAATAAAATAAATTATATAATTATCATCGTCTTTCAAAAAAGAAAAAAAAAAGTGAAAGGGTGATACATATATATATATATATGTGTGTATATATTGAAACAAAAGGGTGATACTTAAAAGATACGTGAAGTGAGTGCATAAATTTACCTCTCTGTGGAAGAAGTGACACCTAAGATACTTATTTCATATATGCTTTATTTGTAAGTGCACTGGAAAGACAATAATGACTTCGTCAAGTGCCTTATCTTTATCTAATTTCTGGTGAACGTTGGCATGCCATCTGGAACCAACCTATAGTCTTTCAACCATTTTTAAACTGTGCGAAGAGTTGAAATCTAAAGCTGACAACAGATCCCGTTGTTTCTTTTTATCCTCTAGAAGGAGCTCTTTCTAGATTACACTTCTAGCTCTCAAAATCTAATTGGATTCTGGATTTCCTTTACCTGGGATAATTTTTTTTTTTTTTTTTTTTATCCTTGCCACTTTTGTTCCTTGAATTATAACCAGTTGGTATTGTTTCTTGTTCTTCTTCATTAATCCAGAAGAAAAGGGCTAACATTTTTTTGTGTCCCCTATCTTTTTCCCTTGAGCTTCTACATATTTCATCAAAGCTAATTGTTAATCATATCTTAAGATGCAACATCGTTTCCTGTGATGAATCTGTAACAATTTCTTTGAATCATTTTAGCTGAGGCCAATATCAGTACAGAATCTTGCAAGATTTTTGAAGCATCGTTTCAATGGTGCTCTTCTCATCAAGCCCCTACCCAGAAAGGGGGAAAAAAATTAGGCACCCCACATGGAGAATAATCATATTTGGTAGAACCATTTTGCCTATTTTCTTTTCTGGGAAGGCTGTTCTGATTTCCCAAGAAAAAAGGGCCAGTGATGCATGCATATGTTACACATGTTATGACGTAACCATATGATTATGTTTAACATCATCGCAGCAACTGAGGCCCTCAATTTTTTTTTCATTTATTTTCTGTTTGCACTTTTGTGCTCTAATTCACCATGTTTTGGCTGATTTGCCTGAAGTAATTTGCTTGAATTTGCCTATGATGAGCAGTTATTACTGCACAACATTTCATCAGAAATAACCATGATGATATGTGATTTTCACCACCTCTGACTTCTGAGGCAATTTACTTCTACTTTTCTTTGGCTGTTTCCCTCTCCTGTTTTAACCACTCATTCTGGAATTTGGATACGGCTGGTATGAACTTGCACATTTTGTTCTTTGTAAACCTCAATTCTTTTACATATTAAGACAAAAACCGGGTACTAACAAATTATTGATCTTGTCTATGAGGTGAAAAAATTGTCCCATGTATTACAGATGAGATTAGTTGTTACTTTTATGAGTGACCTCCACAAAACATTCATTGCTGGAGATTATTCACACTACTAATTCTGGTTTTAGGATAAACACCCCTGCATGCAATCCTTGTTTTCCTTGGCTCTTTTTTATCTTCTTGCTTTCTTACTTGTACCAATTCTGTAATTTTTTTTTTTTCCATAAAACTTCTAAACTGAATACTCGATTTCAGTAACCTGTAGCAGAAGTTGGCTTTTATATGCAAACTGGAAATGTGATTAGTCCATATGACAAATAGATTAGAGTGAATTACAACTTGATTTTGGACTGTTTAAATTTCCATATGGTTTTTGTGTTTTGTAATAATTTTATTCTACCTCATCGGATTGTGAGTTTCCCTGTGATGAATTTGTAGCATTTTCTTTGAATCGTGCACAGTGGAATATATGTACAGAATTTTCCAAGATGGTTGACCAAGAAATGCACTCTGGTCTGTTCTAGCATATGATTTGGTAGTACTATTTTGCCTACTTTCTTTTAATCGGCCATGAAACAATTGCCAACATTTAATTTTCATTCTATTTCCTGTTTGCACTAGTGTGCTCTATTTCACCTTGATTTGCCTAAGTAATCAACCTGATTTTATTACCAAAATCTTTAAGGTATAATATTGCCTCCACCGGTTAAAGGTCCTGACTCTGTTAGTGGCACTGGTACTAGTCATTCAGCTAGGATCTTCGTATGAATGCCCCTTGCGGGCAATTTTTGTTTTCTTTTCCACTTTTGTCATTTTGCTTTGTTCTTTGCACCAATTCTTTAAATTTCATAAGTATAACTTCTAAACTAAATGCTAGCTTTTCGGTAACCTATAGCGTGAGTTAGCTTTTATACGTAAACTGCAAAATTAGTAAGTCAATAGAACGAATAAGTTAGCGTTGATTAGGGTGATGCTGAACAAATAGCTCGACTCGGGCTTGTTTTGATTTAGTTCAAGCTTACTCGTTTGAGCTCACAAGTCATTGACTTCCTATATTTTGTACTCGAAAGTTCGATGAATCTAATTAAGTTTTTTTTTCTATAATATCACACATATATATATACTAATATTTATTATTGTAAAATATCAATAATATCTTTTATTTAAAATTATATGTGAACTATTAATTTTTATTACGTGAGATTGATTAGAGTTGAATAGGTTTGATTAAATTCGATTACGCTTGACTGACTTTGATTTGATTCGATTAGATTTAGTTAAACTCGAGCTTGAATGAGATAAATTGAAGTCGAGCTCGAGTTCAAGCGCAGTTATTTTACCTCGAGTCGAGTTCCAGTAGTATACTATTCGAGTTCAACTCAACTGGAATGCACTCATAATGTGGATGATGAATTGGATATGAATTTGGATTTTGTTGTCCAAAATCTGTTTCAATCATAGGAAGAAGGAAGTCCTCCTTGAACTTATATATATATATATATATATATATATATATTTTTATTTATTTATTTTGAAAATGTTAATTTTTATTTTTGGTTGTATTTCAAATTCATTTTCGATTTGAGTTTTCTGAACTTCTATATAAATGGGTTCAACTATGTTAATTTTTATTTTTGGTTGTATTTCAAATTCATTTTCGATTTGAGTTTTCTGAACTTCTATATAAATGGGTTCAACTTGAACCCAGAGATATTGGATTTCTATGTAGTGGCAAGATCCTTTTAGTTTTTAGATAGAGCTTTGTTTAACTATATGACATTCTAAGACTAAAAGTTATCATATGATTAAACTTACAAACTATTCTTAGTGTAATTAATTTTAATCCTTAAACGGCTGCTCTAGAGTGCTATTTGAGCTTTGGGACTTCTTCAACTCCCCCATCTAACGTAGAAAACTAGAAGCACAATAATCCACTTCATCTCAAACTTAGTTTAAATTGTATGACGTCAATTAGGTAACTGTAAAATTTTCCTATTTGGATTTCATCTTTTGGGAACTTTTGGTGGCATTTCTAGAAAAGTAATATTTTTTGAGACGTAATGTATATGAAATTAAAAGATAGTTGAAATACATATAAAGAGAATAGACAAAAAATAAAAGTTCTTTTAAGAATTACGTACTAAACATCTGTTAAACTCTCTCTTTCTTATTCCTTAAAGTTTCCTTTAAACTAACAAAAAAAACATTCTTCTTGCTTAGAGTTTCCTTTAAATTGCTAAAGAAAATTAATTGTGATCCTGAGTGACAAGTAGATGCTTAATCTGCTCCAAGACTTAGAGGTTCTAGATTTAAATTTTTCCTCCTTCTAGATTCCTAAATTTCACTCCAAAAGGAAAAATGATTAATCCTTATTAACTTTGTGGGCATTTATGTGGGTTGGATATAAAAAAGTAGATAATAATTGCTCTCTCATGGGATCCACGATGGTTATAATAAAGCTGGACCTCGTTATTACAAAAAAGAGCAATACACAATTGTTTTTTTTTTTTTTTAACAAATGATAACAAGATTTATATTAACATTTGACATTACAAGGGTTAATTACAAAAAAGGGCAACTGCACTCAAATAATTTCGAGCTAAGTCGGTTAGCCACACTGGGAAATGATTTTCCCAATTTAAGTCATTAACTAGCTTTACTGCATGTTGAGCTAGCATATAACTACATTGATTTCCGGTTTGATGGACAAAAGAAAAACTACACAGTTCAAAGTCTTTCCTTAACTCTACAATGTCTACCAAGATAGTTGCTAGATTTCCCTTTGGCATTTCATTTGCCTCTATCTAATCTATCACTCCATTGCAGTCTGTCTGGACGTCTATTTTAGTCCAACCTACATTTTTTGCCATCATTAATGCTACTTTTACAGCTAGAGCTTCTTCAGTGCTTGCTTCTCCCCTTTTGTGTTCTACCAGCCCCATTGCTCCAAGAATTTTCCCTGTCGAGTTCCTTGCTATGATATTTTTGCCAGTTCTAATCATCTTAGTTGAGATAGCAGCATTTGTGTTGATTATAATGATGCCTTCCTTAGGTGGCTTCCACTTCCTTTGGTGTTGCTGAATTGTGTGAGTGCTACTACTTGTTTCTTCTGCTTCTACATTGCTTTGTCAAATTCCATCCATTCCTTTTGCGTCTTTTTGCACAGTCCTTAGAGCATCTCTTGTTTCCTCTTCAAAGATCTTTTTGTTTCTTGCTTTCCACAGTACCACTATATGGTTACAGTGAGATTTATGTGGTCCGTACCTTGTTTCTTTGTTCCCGTCCTCATAACTGCTTGCCACCATTTCCAGATGTTGTGCTGTAGATTTTCCAAACCATCCCATCTGATAGGAGGCAATTTTCCATACCTTCTGCACTTCAGGACAATAGAAAAACATGTGTTCTAGGGTTTCGATATCTTCACCACAACCATTACAAATGTTGTTGTCTCCTTCTCCTGTTTGCGCGTATATAAGCTCTTTGACGGGACACTTCCACATGAAATGTTTGTGTTTGAGTTTGATATTGAGACCCCACATCTTTTTCCACATATTTGTTTGCTTCTTTCCCAACTTGTTTCTACTCTTTCAGCTTCTTTCGGATCTTGTTGTTTGATTTCCTCTCTGGCCAGCATGTAACCAGATTTAACAGTATAGTTTCCTGATGCAGAGTGTTTCCAGAAAAATCTATCCTTCCTTTTAAAGCAGCTGATGGGGATGCTTGCTATCAGTTCTACATCTGAGGTGTTGAACCATTGCTGTAGCACTTTTGTGTTCCATTTCCCATTATCTATGAGATCACTTACTTTTTCCAATTCACAATTTTCTGGTTTTCTTGTGGTTACTCTTCCATTTGGCCTCCCTGTTATCCACTTGTCGCTCCATATATCAATACTACTCCCATCCCTCACTCTTTTCCACAAGCATTTCAGAAGAATTTGCCTTGCACTATGAATGCTTTTCCAAGCCCATTATGCTGACTGTGGAGGGTCATTGTCTATCCAACCATCTTTTTTCATATATTTTTACCTTTACTACCTTGCTTGCTAACAAATTTGGAGCAGTTAAAATTCTCCAAATTTGCCTAGCAAGCAGGGCCGAGTTAAAGGATTCCAAATCTTGAATGCCTATGCCACCGTTCCCTTTAACTTTTGATAACTTCTTCTAGCTGGCCCAATGCGCTTTCGTTCTGTTATCCTTACTTTCCCACCAAAAGTTGGCAACTCTCCTGCTGATATCCTTGCATAGACCTTTAGGGAGTCTAAAGCAAGACATTGCATACGAGGGCATGGCCATGATGACAGCTTTAACAAGTACTTCTTTGCCCTCTTGACTCAGTAATTTTTGTTTCCACCTGTGCAGCTTGCTGTTAACCTTGCACTTTATATTGCCAAAAACCAGATTCTTGGTTCCACCTATGGTCATAGGTAGTCCAAGGTATTTGCCACTGGTTGCTTGCTTCATATTGTCCATTGCTCTGCATACTCTCCTTTTGGTCCTCTGTGGTGTGTTTCTGCTGAAGTAGACTACAAATTTGTCAAAATTTACCATCTGTCCTGAAGCTCTGCCATATCGTACTAAGATATCCATCACTTTTCACAGCCTCCTATTCATCGACTTTACAGCATAATATTGAGTCATCCGCAAAAAACAAATACGAGGCCATAGGGGAATCTTTGCAAATTTTCATGCCGGTTAGTATCTTTTGATCCACAGCCTTCTTAATTGGGCAAGAAAGTCCTTCAACACATATAACAAAAAGATAGGGTGACAAAGGTCACCTTGTCTAATACCCCTGCTAGGCTTAACCTTTCATACTTTCTCACCATTTAGATTAAGGGAGTATGGAATAGTGGAAATACAAGCCATGATCCAATTCATAAATATTGGGCAGAAACCCATTTTCATCATCAATCTCCCCAGAAAAGTCCACTCAACCCTGTCATGGATTTTGGACATGTCAAGTTTAATGGTCATGAATCCATTTTTTCCTATTCTTTTGTTTTTTTAAGAAATGGATAAGTTCATGAGCTATCACTACATTGTCTAGGATCTGTCTTCTCGAAATGAAAGCTGACTAAGAGGGACTAACGCAGTGCTTAAGAATAGTCTTGAGCCTATTTGCTACAATCTTGGCTATGATTTTGTACAAAACAGTGCAAAGTCTAATAGGTCTATAATTGGTTAGATTGACTGGGTTTTCCACTTTAGGTATTAGGGTAATGAGGGTTTCATTGATAGATTTGAGGATATTGCCACTATGAAAAAAGCTATTCACAGTATTCACAATGTCAACCTAAATAATTTGCCAATAATGCTGGAAGAACAGAGTGGACATGCCGTCTATACCTGGTTCTTTGTTCGGGTGCATAGAAAAAATGGCTACTTTGATTTCTTTTTCTTCAACTAGCTTAATTAGTCTTTCATTCATCTGCTTGGTAATAGTATGGGGCATTGCTTCTAAGATCCGCTCCATATCTTTGGACTCCCCTGTGGTGAAAAGTTCTCTATAGTGGTTGCAAAGTTCCCTTTGGATGTCCTAGACATTCATACACCATTCACCATTTGACTTCTGGAGTAAGCTGATCCTGTTCCTTTTTCTCTTTGCCATCACACTAAGGTGGAAGAAAGCTGTGTTTTTATCTCCTTCTTTTAGCCATCTGTTTCTTGATTTTTGGCTCCAATATAACTCTTCCTCTTTGTATGCCTTGCTCAACTGCATTTTCAAATTGGTCATCAGGCTTTTCTTGTTTGGATCCTTTCTAGCTTTTGCATTTTCCAGCTGATTCTTGATTTCATTTATTCTTACTCGCGAATTGCCTCTGATCTTTTTGTTCCGCTCCAATAGACCAAATATGCATTCTTTGATTTTTCTTGCCACTTTGAACATCCTTGACCCTCTTTGTTCTTTATCCCATGCCATTTGGATCACTTCTTTTGACTTTGGATTCCTAGTCCATCTCTGATAAAAAAAGAATCTTCTATTGTATTTTCTGTTGGTTGGGTAAGTATCTAACACAAGAATGCAATGGTTTGAGGCTTCTTTCTCAATATGAGTGCATGTTGATATGTCAAACAGTTGCACCCAGCCTACACTTCCCAAACACCTATCTAACCTTTGTTTGAACTCTCCATCCCCTTCCCACAAGTTGCTCTAATTCCATGAAACTCCTTCATACCCGATATCCACTAACACATTTTCCTTTATGAAGTTGTTGAAATCTTTAAAACTCCCATACCCCTCATTTTTCTTCATTGGACCTTATGTCATTGAAATCCCTAGTAACTATCCACCTATCTCCCCATATTCTCTTCCTCTGTTCAATGTACTTCCATTGTTCTCTTCTTGTTTGGTCTTCCGTGCTGGCATATATCCTTATTAGCCACCATTGGCATTTGAGTTCCTGATCCTCTATACACGCTTCTATACAAAAGTTGGTGACATTGATGTCCACAATATTCAGCTCAACTTTTCAAAAAAGAGCTAAACCACCTGCTTTACCTTTAGGATTGACTATGTAGCTCTTATCACACTTGATCTTTCTCTGGATTTCCTTCATATACTTTTCCTGATTTTTGGTCTTGCACAAAAACACCATGCTTGGAGAGTGCAGGAGCAGAACCTTTTTCAGTTGGGGAACTGCCAAGGGGCCACCCACACCTCGACAGTTCCACACCACTATCTTCATTTACACAATGGAGGCATTCTGGGGCTAGCCTCCAATTCCCCTTGAGTTATTGGTATATTCACTTACATCTTGATGTTCTTCCTTCGTGATGCTTCAATCTCATCCTCTTCCATTGCATCTACTTCCTGCAATTCTAATATATTCGTCCTCTTTCCTCCCAACTGCCCATCCATCATCTTGTTCGAGACATCTTTTAGTGGGGATTTGGTCATCCTTTGTGTTCTCCTGAATGACTTCCTTCCCTTGATTGCCCTATCTTTGTGCCCTATCAGCTTCTCCACCAAGCTTCATTTGTAGCTTTCTACACTTTGTTCCACATCTTCGTTGCTTAGATCTATCCCTCCTAATTCTGTTGTTGACAAGTCGAATTTCTGGAAAGCATTTGCCAAAGGATCTTCCATTTTCGTAGACAGAAGCATGCCTCTTACTATTACTTGGATTCGAATGCCAGATTCAATTAAACCTGCAAAAAAAAAAAATCTCAGTGTGTTAAAGATGCTTAGGACCTAACAAGAGTAGAAAATAGTGAGATGTTTGTCTAATGGGTCAAGATTGGGAATAATTAATGCTCCATGAGTTTGCTGCCACTTATATTGTGAATAAGATCTTGGTCTGATTTCCTCATTTGGTGCGAGGATAGTCGAGAATTAAATGGTTCTAGAAAGCAATTTTTGGTTTTCTGGTCTTGTTAAAAATTGAGTGAAAAGGGGGCTTAAATGTGGGTGTTTGTATGAGATGGGTAGAGCTGGGTGTGGGAACTCTCGTAGAATTTGGGATCTTGAGTTTTGAGATCTGTTTGAGTGTGATCTGATGTTGGATCTAGGATTTTTGAAATGTGTTGGATTTTAAAATTTGGGTTTTGAAATTTGGATCTTGAAAAGCATAAGGCTCCTACCGAGAGGAGGGAAACTCTAAAAGCTAGAGAGAGAAGCTCTCATTGTAGAGAGAATAGCAGTACACAATTGTTAGTATCTAATTGTTAGTCTGGTCACTTCAAATAATTTCTTCCATTTTTGTTTAACTGCTGCTTTTATTGTGCTGCTAACTTATCTCCTAATAAAATTTTAAGAGTTATTGATTGCAGGACTTGTCCATAACAATCATTAATCAATACGCATGAGAGTTAAATAGGGCGGAGTAGATGGGACAAAGACAAAATTTAGGAGAAACGATTTTAAGCACCTAATATAGAGGTTGGGTATTAATGCCCAGTCACCCATTGGCTTTTATTTAGGGAAATGTCTTGCTTAATGGATCAGCAACTAAAGATTCTTTGATATTTAATGTCACACTCCTGGCTCCGTTTGGATTTCTCATTTTTTGAAAAATAAGTTTTTCATATACAATGTTACGTAATATGTAAACAAAAAAAACTCCAAAAATACCACATCTATATAATATATATAAAAATAAAAAAAATTACACCGTTTTTTTCTTCCATTTATCAGTATCATCCCTACCCACTACCCGCTATCATCCCTTCATTCTCCTCTTTCCTCTCCTTCTCGCTTCCTCATCCCTTCCTCCTTTCCGTTTTCCCTCCTCTTTTCCCCCACACCCCACCGCTCCTCTTCCCTCCTAAATTTGGTCTCAAGTAGAGGCTATGATCTGGTTGCAGCCAGATCGTGATTAAAAGGACTGCAATCTGGTCACGATGTCATGACCAAAGGCCACGACGTGACCTTGGCCAGATCCCTCCGGGAAAAGGGAGGAAGATGAGGGGTAGGGCATGGTGGGGAAAGGAGGAGGGGATGAAAAAAGGGAGGAGAAAAGAGATGGGGGAGGGAAGGAGAAGGAAAAAAGAGAGGAAGGAGGGAGGATGAGATAGAAAGAGAGGGAAGAGAAGGGAAGGGATGGTGGTAGTGATGGTAATTTTTAAAGAAAATATCACAAAAATTTTCAAACTTTAAAAATATCTCAAAATATATTCCAAAAACATTTTCAAAAACATCATGAAAAACATCCACAATAAGAAAAAATTTCATATACACTAGTACAATAAATATATTTTAAAAATACCCTAAAAAACAGCTAATCCAAGCGAAACTTACTTTTTTTCAATTACTTTCGGGTAGGCATGGCCACGGTTCCAGAACCAGCGGTTTTGGTTTCAGAACCAGCGGTTTTGGTTCCAGAACCGCCGGTTCTGGTTCTTCAAAGAGGTAGAACCAGAATCGCACCATATAAGATAGTTTCGGTTCTGATTCCAGAACTGCCGGTTCTGGTTCTTCAAAGAGGTAGAACCAGAACCGCATAGTTCTGATTTTGGTTCCTTATGGTTCTGGTTTCTGGTTCCGTATAATTGTATACAATTTTATTTAATTCCTTATCCTTACCAATTTTAATACGAATATAACAATATATTTAAAATTTCAAATAAAATGTAAAAAAAATAAATACAAAATAAATATCATATTTTAATTTTATTATTATTCTACAAAGTTAGAAGTAATAAATAGATAATATAAATTTTATGAAAAGTACATTACATTGTCAAATTAAAAAATACATTTCACTATCAAATGGTTGTCATATGTTGAGTTTCTTGAGTTGGACAATCATCAATGTTGAAGATTCCATTTGAAGAAATATTGCAAAAAATATTGTTTTGCTTGCTTGATTTGAAGATGAGCTACACCATCAAAACTTGTCATTTGATAGAAAATAAGCAAAAAAAAAATTGTAAGTAATAATTTAATACTTACAAATTAGAATGATAGATATTAGATGAATAGAAAGAATTAAATAATTAATAAAATATATAGAAAGTCCATAAAATTTAAACTTTCTTAAATTCTATTAAACACAACTAATTTTTTTGAATTATCTCACTACTTATATTAATTATTTTTAACAATTCTGGAACCGGCGGTTCTGGTTTTGGTTCTATTTTTTAGAGAACTAGAACCGGAACCTTTATTCAAGGTTCTACCACGGTTCTGGTTCCATGGTTTTGGTTCCGGTTCTGGTCCGATTCCAAATGATCCGATTCCGATCCGGTTCTCGGTTCCAAATGGAACCATGGCCATGCCTACTTCCGGGTCTATTCTAGATTGATGATATCTATAAATCAATTTCGATCTTTAGACAGGTTAGTTTTTAAAAGGTTAATAGGAATCATGTGAAACTGCCTTGTTTGAATTGTCATTTTTTCTTTAAAAAAAATTATATTTTTTAATCATCTTTTTAACTTATATATATCAAATCACTACGGTACATAAGATAAGGAAGCTAGGCTACTGTAATATGTAACCCTCTTCTATCTAATAATATTTAAGTTTTTCTTTCAAAAATAATTATTTCAAGGCAAATTTCTTTGCATTCGAATTCCCATCCCAACTGGTACTTTCGAGAATAATCTAACTTTCAATTTGAAGCAGTATTTTCAACAAAAGATAATGCTGATAAAGTAAAGAAATGTGAGGAATTCGAGGTGGTAGTTGAGAGAGTAGAATTCAAACTTAAGAAATAGAAGGAGCATTATTTAATCAATAAAATCAATACTGATGAAGATATTTAACTCTAAAAAGAATTGGCAATCATGGCAACTAAGTTCAGCATGGATATATGTGCAGTTCAACTTAATTAATGTTTATGTGGCTACTTTTTTTTCCCTACATGCCTGTAAATTGAAATTATTCAAACAAAAAAAGAGAAAACAATTGCTAGCATTGAATTCTGTTACTAGTCAAACTTGATATAGGTTTGCAAATCACACTCAAAACAAGAAGCATGCTTCTATGTTCTTGGTCAAAAGTTTTTGGCAGGTTGAGAAATCGATTATGTCTAAGCGTGGAAATTTGACTGACAAGAAAATGATTTGTCAGTTGAAATTTAAAATTGTGCTCCCATGTCTTTCATCTGGAGGTCCAATGTCCCTGTGAAAAATAAAGAAAAGAATGCCAAGTAGAGCTTTGGGCATACCTACCAAAATAATAATAATAATAATAATATATGATTGTGTTTTGAAACTGGGTAAAATGTAGAAACCTCCCACGAATTATTATAGGAGTTAACTATTTTAATAGGCACTTTGCATCCTAAGTTAACTAAAAATGATAGAAAAATTAACTTCATTTACTTAATTTGTGAAAGGGTTTTCCTAAAATTCACCTAATTTGCCATGTATATATACATACTAATAATTATTACCATCCCTTATATTTATATACTTTTTCTATTTAATCTTATCTACTCTTTGTTATATTTATATACCATTCCTAATTAATTTTACATTTTTAAAAATATAACACCTGAAATATATCTTAATGAGTGTCTATTGGGTACCCATTAGAAAGACTCTTAATAAAATGACAAACTTACCATCTATTGAAAGTTTAAGTGGCAAGAATATCCTTCGGTTGGCAAAAAACTCACTATCAACAAACTAACTTTTACATCATAACAAAATTCTAATTAAAAACGTATAAAAAAGGGGATAACATCAGAAACCTTCTTTGAGATTTCTCCTAGTATCACTTAGCACTCTAAAGTTCTAAAAATTACTTTCCCTAATAATTACAAAATGATTATGTTAACCCTGACTTGATACATAATTTACATATCAAATAAATAAAACTCAAAAAATTAAAGAAAAAGGAATGAAGATCACTTTCTTCTCTTTTCCCTTTCTCTAATATTCTCTTTTACTTATTTTTTTGGATGATTATGCAATTTTTTTTGCAAATTATAGTAAATTAAATTTTTTTATCTTTTCATTTTATGATTGTGATAAAGTGGGGTATGATTTCTTTGTTTATTTTGAGTTAATTGTTATAATGATTTACTTCAACTTAAAGGATTGAGCCAAGGGTTGAGAAGAGGCTAGGGCAAAAATAAGATTAATAAGAAATTGGTTTTGAGCATATAGACTCGAAATTAATGCTAGTGTATTTCTTTACAAATATCTTTTTTTGTTTTCCAAATATATAATTTTATGGCCAACACGAGATTATTTTTTAGGTGCTAGTTTTTCTTGGAATAAACAAAGTGGTTAGGAGTGTTTTTATTCAGTAAAATGAGCAACAATGGCAGTTTAGGATTTAAAAAAAATTTTGTTACGTAAATAACAAAAGTAATGAAGGTAAGTGATATTTTTAAAATCTTAGGGGTATCAAGTGTTATTAAGAGAAAATTTTAGGGGAGGTTCCTGATATTATCTCTGTAAAAATATATATGGGGTCATTTTGAATAACAATTATTCCTTTAATTTGAAACTATACTTTTGATTTCTTTTTATGTGTATACAACTAATTGAAAATTTTTGGTTTCTATTTTTTGAACTTTTAATCCCAATAATTTGTTTACCAATATGTTAATTCTAATTTCAATATAGTAGTGAACCTTTGCTGCTATTATTGAGCCAAATTCACGTAAACATTTTGGGGTACTACTTAATTTAAATTCTTGTGGGATTATAAATGATTTTTGCTATTACATGAAGACATGGCAAATTTTTGCATTGAAACAAAATTATGAGACTTTAGAAATCGTAACATCAATCCTTCATTTTTTTTTAATTTTGTCAGACATATATGTTTTCACTTAAATTTTATTATAAAGTGAGAATAATTAGTCTATTTGATGTGAAAATTTTTTCTTACTAAAAGGCTATTTTTGCCACTTGAAATTTTTAATACAGGTTAACTCGGTCACTTAATCAATTACTTGGATAGAGTTAATTTTTTTTTTTTATCATTTTTCAATCAACCAAGGGCATAAAGCGTCTATTAAAATACTTTAGGGTATAAAATGCAATTGATACAATAATTCTGTGAGGGCTTTCTGCATTTTACCCTTTGAAATTTACCTTCAATAACATGGCTTTTCAACTTTGAATTGCGAGTCGGTCAGATGTTAATTCCACAGCGACATTATTGAATTTCATACCTTCAATTTCAAATTTGGAGAGTCTAAGACCGGTTGTATTGTTTCAGGAAAACAATCACA